AAGGTGCGTTCCTATAAGTCTTCTTAACAATATGACCGAGTTAGGAAAACAAGGTCAAACATTTTCTACGCTGCCTATATTCGTAGAAAATAGGTTTAGAGACTACCATTAAAACTAAAATAAGATTTCAAGCTTGCCTCATCAACGATCCCACTATAAAAATGTGATATTTAAATGCCTGGCCTGCAGTGAAATTCGCATCTTCCCTGCCGCCAACTGGGGCTTGTGGCCTCTTTACGTAATAGCGACATATCGAAATTATACGCTATAATGCCGGGGTTCGATTCAAGTTGAAAGTGCTTCTGAGGCTTAGACGAGGTCAAAACTGAAATCTACCCTTGATGATAATACATTTTAGTAGGCTAGGCTAAATAAAATTCAATGGAATCGTGAGCTATATTCACATAGAAAGTATGAAGACTAAGATGGTGTGGCCTTTTGTGTGGTCGCAGTCTCCTTTCGTTGTATAGAGGTTGTTTGACTTGTTTTCGAAACTGGTCATATTGGTAGAAAGACTTATTGGAACGCACCTAGTCCGGGGTCCATTGTCTGTATGATCATTGATGGTGTGGCCTTTTGTGTGGTCGCAGTCTCCTTTCGTTGTATAGAGGTTGTTTAACCTTGTTTTCGCATGGTCATATTGGTAGAAAGACTTATTGGAACGCACCTAGTCCGGGGTCCATTGTCTGTATGATCATTGATGGTGTGGCCTTTTGTGTGGTCGCAGTCTCCTTTCGTTGTATAGAGGTTGTTTAACCTTGTTTTCGCAGATTTGGAGGAACGCAACCCACAAAATTTGTGGGTTGGCACACAAGGGACAAGGGCATAGCAAGTCAACGACTTGGTATTAGGGATAGAAACAGAATAGACACGGCAGGGACCGGAGTTAGTTGGCTGACGGTAGGTCGGTTGTAGCAGAGACGTGGTCCATGTAGCAAAGGGGTCATGATGACACTCAGAGGCTTGAGCGTCGAATTAGTCACCCGGAGGAGGTGATGGCGAATATCGCTTCAAGTAGGACAGATGTGGTGGCAGGAGTCGAGTGAAATAGATGAACAAGGGGTAGAGCAGACGGATTTTACGGAGCAAGAGAGAGACTGAGATAAAACTAGGGAAGAGGACTGCATAACAATAATAAAGACTCTGATCAACATTCCCTCCTACAAAAGATGAAAGGGGGGTGAGAACGACAGTTGGAGTGTGAAGGTGTCATGTCTCTCAAAGGAGCATGATAGGATGCGCCCGGAAATGCGAATAACCTAGGGTAGAAGGGGGAATAGGACAATTGTTTAACACAGGTTTGGTCAAAGAATCAGCTTGACTTGTCTCTTTGACGAGTTGTGTTGTGCAAAAAATGACGATACTCACTGATGATGCCGACTACGATGCCGGCGAAACGTTTAAGAATGTACCGCGTCCACGGTTCAACGTTGGAAATGATCATGCAGACAATGAACTCCGGACTAGGTGCGTTCCTCCAAATCTTCCTACCAATATGAGCATGTTGCGAAAAAAAGGTCAAACAACCTCTATATTCACATAGTTGTGGAAAAATTCAACTCAGTATTTCATCACATTAGGTATGTAGAAAAACTGGGTTTCGAAGAATCTCTTAATAGATTGATGCTGGAGTACCTTTCAGCTCGTTTGAAGAGGCGAGTGGAAGAGATTCGTAAGTTGGTTTTACCGGAAGCTGTAGAGGGTTGCAATAGAGCTGTGGTTGGATTTGTACTGATAGGTCTTCGGCGCACAGGGTTCGCAGGACGTTTTGCTGAGGACATATTAGCACAAATCTACAATCACAGCTCTGAGCCAATTACCTTACAGCTTTCGATGGAACCAATTTACAAATCCCTTCCCCTCGGCTCTTTAAACGAAATGAAAGTTTCTCTAACATTTAATCACCTTATGTGATATAAGGTAGCTACAGCCATTGTTTAAATTATGGAAGTTATCAATTCAGTTAATAAAAAGCATTAAGGATTAGTAATTTACCAAGATCACTTAGGTATATTGGATTATCAGCGACACGTTGGCCGGCTTGGAGCATTGCAAGGACATTTTCTCTAAAAATTGTGATCTCGTAAATGATTGAATATATTTCTAAGGCGTAATGAAGCGCGTATTACCTGTATACTGGATTTAGATTGATTATATCACGGATTGTCTTAACAATTTCCCCGCTGACTGCCTATAGTAGAAAAAAATATAAAAAAAATCGGTAAAACAGCAGTATCTTAATATTCAAAGTTAGTAGGTTTCGAAATTATTAGTAATTCTTGTAAAAACTGGAGGTATACTTGTATTCTTTTAAGAGAACTCCAATATTAGCCCCAGAGTGAGTGTAATATTACTTAATCCCATTCCTTGTAAAGTGTTTTCTAAAACACCTTCCAGGAACTACTAATAGGGTAAATGAGTTGAAATCAAAGTCTATATGAATTAGGTATAAGGATTTCTTGAATTTGAACGCCAAAGTATGGTCGCATCAATACACGCCCATTGGTGCACATAGACGCACACATGCATACATACATACATATTTTTCCCCGTTCACTTCATGGGATAAGTGTAATACTTAGAAGGAAATTTAGATAGGAATATTTAAAATTCACTTGCTTTTATTTCTTGCGTAGTCTCATAGGGC